GCAGAGGCCACTTTGAACAACATTAGTGGCAAGGCCCATATTTACTTAAGCTTTGCTCCCTGGCAGTTTGCCAATTTCTGCTTTTATAGTTCTGTTTACACATTTTACTTTATTTAACTGTTGGGGCCTGTAAGTTACATATAGTTTCCAGGTATGATACTCAAAGTTTTAGTTATTATTTGCATTCTTTCTGTTATGAAGGCTAGTTCATTGTTAAATTTAAACCAAAGTAGCAACATAAACTATGGGATGATTTTTCTGGTTAATAGATTCAGCGGATAACATTTAAAACTGCACAAGTTTTCCCAGTGTAGCTAACAGGTGACCTTTGTTGAGTCTTAAGGCTTTAGAGCAACTATAACTACTGTATATAATTCTATACTCTTTGGTCAGTCTTTCATTTAACAAATCACTTTAGTAAAACAATTATGTTTCATTTTATGAGTTGACATTATAGGCTGGGATTTAATACAGGTGGGTCATAGCCTTTCTCTTTTTTTTTTTCCTTGAACTATTTTTCTCTCTCCAATTTTCCTTTCAATCAAATTAGTTGTCCTAAACTGTACCTTCAGTATACTGGGTCTGACTATTTGCATAGACTGTAGTAAGAATAATTAATTTTTATTCATTTAGGCTTCTCTTTTAAAATTGGCTTTGCTGGAATCTTTTATAAGGGATTTTAGTTAGACTTGAAGCCTTTCACGAGCCCAGGTTTCATCTATGCCATTAGATACCTGTATGCATTGGGTAAATTCTTTTTCTCTTGAAGTTCCCAAGCACATTTCGATTCTCAGACCTGTCAGGAAGTTACCTTTGTTACATACCACAGATCAGGAAACATTATTGATGGGTATCCAGCCAGTTCCTTTTTTAAAGGGCTTTTTTATTGGCTTTATAAAGTCTACTTTAATCTCTTAGTGCAGTCTGGACACCTCTGGAAATGCTATTCCAGACAAAGCTTTGGTAAATTAACCAGTGTTTTTATTATTCTATAGAATGAAACAGATTCTTATTAAACTTATGCAAATAACTGTATTGTCAGGAATTAAGAATAGTTACAAATGGCTTTTAAATTTTAGAGAAATTAAGGAGAGAGAAAAAATACATGTTTCAGATTCTGCTCATAATTCATACTTTAAAAGCTATAAATAGCTTAAAAGATAGAAAATAGTTTTCTTGATTTCTAGAAAACAAAACACAAAGAATCAGCAATATTTCAAACTATAACAAATCAGCTTAGTTCAGCTAAATTATTACATTTTGAAATTCTTTTAAATTTTTCATAAACATTTACAACTTATACACACCATTTTTCAACCATTTAAAATCCTTTACTTTTGTCTGAATTTTCCTTTTAAAACTGCCAGTTACTTTAAGATAAAAATTTTTCACACAAGATTTTTTATACAAAATTATTCTCTTTTCTGTTATCCTTTGTTGCCATTGGGGTCTCATGGAAAAGCCATGTCATGGAGAATAAGTACACTTATTGAAATTGTATTTTAAATAAAGGTGACAATTTGCTTGCTCAGGCAAAATGGCGAGCCTCTTTATTTACTGTAGGTTTATATAGTCAGTTTTGCACATGCTCACTATACATTAATGACCTCATTAATATTCATTACAATCCCTCTGCACATGCGCATTGGACATCAATGACTTCATTAATCCATTTAAACATCTTGTGACTACTTTGTGAGTAGCTCCTCCCTAGTAATCTGATAGTGCACCCAACATACACCTTTTAACATAACCCTTTCAACATAACCTGGTTTAATATAACTTAATGGAAAATATGTTGTGGAGAACACGTTAGTCATTACTTCTTTGTTCTTATCTGATGAAGTCTGAGGTTATGGAGGACTGAGATGGTTTGAAAATTTGTCCTATTGACCTCACCGTTTGGAGGCAGTTACTTCGATCTTTAAACAAGGCATTCTAGGGCATACAGAAATTTGTTTGCAAACCTCTGTTCCCATGTGGGCCTTAAGTCAGGGTTTTTTTATGCCTGCAATCAATCAGGCCAAACTTAGGTTGGGGGGTTTTAGGCCCACAACCAATCTAGCCATATGGGATTCTGCCTCAGTTTTTCACAAGTATGCCTGCAGAAAGTCTTTTCACTGCTCTCTCTCAAACAGCTTTTTTGGCCAGAGGAATATAGCCCTTTTTCCTATAATCCTTCCTGACTAAAACTACATCTTTCTACTCAAGTCTTTCTACACATCTCTCTCTCCCACATTTACTGGTTACTTTTATTTTTAATTCCAAGCTTAGAAAAGGAAAATTGTATTCAAAGTTTCAGTAAAGTTTCTCTAAAAGTGTGTAATAGAAAAGGAGTTAGGTGTTTAACTTAGCCTTAAGATTCTATACAAACAGGTGGGTAGGGTAGTTAACCTTCATTTTCCAGAGGTGAGGAAGTTGTGGAATACACAGGGGTTTATATTTTACCTTTTACTTCAGAGATGGAGTTACAGAAGCAGGTTCATTGTCAGAGCCTGCTCTTCCCCTGCATGTTCATTCCTCTATTGGTCAACTGCTGTCACAGAGGACCACCATGGGACCTTTCGTTCACTCTGCCAGAGCCCTCCTCACCATGTAATTAGTATGGGAGGGCTCTTAGGGAATGGCATCAGTTAGGGTACTGGGGAACACTCCCATCAGAGAACCAGAATGTTGCAGGGAAACAGTAAATTAAAATAGACAGACATGTATACTAACAATATAGAAGAAGGTACCTCTAATTGCTGGCAAGAACTAGAACTCAGGTGTCTCAAGGCATAAAATGCTGAATTCTAGGGAACTTTTTTCCAAATTCTTTTGTAATTGTTTTCCTTTTCTCTTCAGTTCAATACGAGACTGTTTCAGGCCAAGACCAATCCTTTAATAAACACTGAACAAATGACATAAAATGACAGAGCTGATGGGGCTGGACATGAACAATGTCTAATAATATTTGTAACATAACAACCATAGTTTTTAGCAGCCAAAAATAGGAACAGTTTTAAAAAACTTTGTAGTAACTCTTTAATTGCTGGAAAGAGAGGGTCTCAAACACAAGTGGGTTATTTACACTACA